GCATTTTAATAACAGCTAAAGGTGACATAGATACTTTATTATGGTATAGTATTTAAATATATGCATGAGAAACACATAATATTGCCCCTTTAAAGACAAAAAAAGTTAAAAGAAAGATTCTCTCTGGTGGTTTAAAGCCCTGACCTGGAGGAGGCTGAACCGACTCCAGGCAGGCGTAGATGCAGCCGTTGTAACAACAACGTTTGTGGCGTTCGCATTCTGAGTCTGAGCGACACACCGGGACGTCACAGGCTCGCTCGGGCAGCATCTGTGGTGGCGGCGGACACCGGTCGTTCTTCTGGTGCTGGGAGGACTGGTTGGGGTACTCGTAGTCCTTTAAAATGTCAGCAAAAACAAAGCAAAGATTGTTGAATGATGTTTTGATTTTGACCACCAGAGGGCAGCAGGAGACCTGAATGAGCTGTTTTTTCCCCCTTTTTTTGAGTTGGAGCTGATGTTTGACTTTAGTATGCATGCCTGATTACTGATGTCGTGAGCTGAATAAGAAATGTGAGCGATTGTGGGAACAAAGGTCTCAATGGTGAGTACGGAGGCAGAAAACACCCCAGAGGATCAAGTAAAGACTCACTTTAGAGGCTTTGAAAGCACAAAGTAGAGTTTTGAGTTCAAACACAGCAAAAATCACTACTTTCCTCTGAGTTCTGGTCTCTGTCACAAAGCTGCTGAGCTTTTATTTCATTTCCTCGCTGGTTTGGGATTGAATTTATGGGGGTCTTTCTTTTATTATTTGGCTCTGCTGCGAATAAATTTGTGCTGTGGTGCGGTATACGTGACCATTTATTGTTGTACTGTAGGTTGTGCACACATGGGTTTTATTATGGTAAGAAGCACGACTGCGCTCATATTTTCTTTTTATTTTGTGGAACAAACTTAGTGATCAGATTTCCAGATCACACAACTTGTCTCTTTTTCTTCTGCAACAAAATAATGAATTCCAGGCTGTCGCAGAAGCAAAAAGTGTTTTCTTTAATAACTCAAATGTTTCCCGAGTTTATAAAAAATAAACTTTTCTTGTTAGTATTTGACCTGCTTTATTTATATAAAAACTTGATCAGTCAAGCTTTTTTGTCAAACAGCAGAGTTGATTAGGTTTGTAAGCATATCACCTGCTACTGAGGGCAAATGTTAGCAAAATATCTCATGAACCAGTGGACAGATTTTAGTGAAACGCTCCACTATTAATTATTGGATGCACATCTACAACTCTACAAAATCTAGCTTTGCTTTCCCTGTACTTTCACACATTTCTCGGACTCTCGAAGAACTCCATGCCCTCAAAGAACTCTGAAAGAACTCGTTTTGTTTGTAATTATATAATAGATTTGTTGCACGCAGTCCTTAAACCGTGCCATTTCTTCAACTGCTCCTCCAAACTAACCACAAACAGAAAGAAAATGATCGGCGCTGATGGTGGTATAACAAACCGCATGTTTCTCTTTAAACACACTTTAATTCATTCTGGCAGCTGTGAGTTTAGCGGCTGGATGATCATCAGGGGGGTGGGCCTGGACTGAATCTCCCCTCCCCATGGAACAATGGAAAGAACAACGTGTGGATTAGCAGCTTGTAAAAATTGTTAGAGTTGTGCAAAGAGAATTTGAGGTCACTTTTGTTTTAAATAGTTCTTCAAACGCAATTATCAGGGCGTCCCTCTGAGCTGCAGACTCTGCCTGTTGAGTTTCCTGCACTAATTTGTGTTGTATTAAGGTTAAAGCATCTAAGGCAGGGAAATGCATCGAGCATTTAAATAATGGGTCAGCTGCTCTCCTATTGGTCAACAGACAGGAAGGAGCAGGGTCCATGTGCAGATCCATGGTGCATGCTTGTGCTGCTTCAGTTTAGCTTAAAGTTTAAAGTTTAGTTAAACTCAAAGGCACAGGTAAGCGTTTTCCTCCCTGCCTTTGTTTTAAGTCAAACTATAAACTTTAAGCTAAACGGAGGCAGCACAAGCATGCACCACGGACACGTTAACAAATCCTTGTGAACAACTGAAGAGGCAGACTTCCTGGTTTTATTCTTTCTATGAATGAAGAATCCAGATCCTGCTCTTTTGGGATAATTACATAATGAGCACGATTCTCTCTGCTTGTCTCACATCCGATCTGTTCCCAGCAGCTCCTGTCAGCCTTTCCTAAAAAGGGTCAAGTGTTTCCTTCCTGTTTGTGAGACCGTGTGTTTAGGTAAGGATTCAGATGATTCTAGAGCCCAGGAAATGATAACATCACAGATTTTACTTTAAAGCTTTGCTACACTTTTGCCAACATCCGTCAGTAATCTGTCTGTATCCACTGCACTGTCAGGGCTCATGCTTTGTGTCTTTCTGCACTTCCTCGCTGTTGCCATCCAGATGGGCTGCTGTGCTTTAATCGTGAGCTTCATCACAGATCCCGCTCAGATCTCTCTGGTGTTCTGTTTGTTTATTTACACTCCTTCATACCGCGCTTCTCTCCRTTTGAACCACGCTATCAACAGGACTGATGTTCATGTCCTTCTGGGGGCACATTTTTCTCTCTGTCTGCTTCACATCGCTCTTTCAACTTGTGATTTTTTGTTGCATTTATTGGTGTTAAAAAAGGAACATCATGCTGGTTTCTTTAACATTTGATTTCAGCAGCTCCTTTATTTGTATCTTTCCTTTGACTCTTTAAAAACCTCTTGTTCTATGATTAAAATAAGGCCTGTCAGGGATGCCACTGGAGGCCCTGTCTGGCTCCAGAGTTGATCTCAGATCAGACTGCTGTTCCGCGCTGAGATCTCAGACAGATATGAAGAGTTCCTGCTTCCTTTGTGTAAAGATTCATGCACACAAACACACAAYTAACTTCACTCAGAGGCACAAACAGATTCACTCTCACTGTAGTTTCAAACGTGTGCAAACATTTGCTGCTACACTCACTTTGTCAGATAAGAAGACTTCACCAGCAGGGATGAATCGGGATGCAATATATTCTTTAACATTTTGTATTTGTAACCTAAAATAACATTTATTTAGTTTTGTTTACATTTAGACTGATTTTGGTACATTCTGGTGCGGCCCGGACTGGGCCTTGGCCATTTGCTCCTCTCCACCTCAGAATGATTGGGTCTTCCACCTGGGTTCGGGTGTGTGCGGCCTCCATTAGGGGGTGGGTACATGTCCTGGACCTGGGGGGTATAGAGTGTGTATCAGGGTTATGAGTGGAATGTGGC